AGAAGAAAGGTCAGGGGAAAAATGAGGGGCCTTGGAAGAGCAAAGGGCTTGACCACGCCGAGGACGTGTGTCGTGGGCCGCGTATCTGCACCCCTGTGTACTGCGCCGTCGGTTCCCGCACAGCGTGTGACAGCCAGCGCATGGCTAATTACAAACGTGCAGAACAGTTGTGTGTGGCATATGACCACCACCTAGGGATGGAAGAAAATTCTTGGGAAGATCTGGCTAGCTGAATCCTCACAATTGCTTTCACGCCAGAGCGGCGGTAGGGCTAAGAATGGATGGCATCCCTCATAAGGCTGAGAAACAGCAATGCCCTTGGAGGGCCGCGTTATAAGCTTTCAGAGGTTAGGGGCCACATCTGGCAGAAAAATGGCATTTTTTGTGGATGACCATCGCAGACTATCCAAAGATGTCGGATGGAAGCCCGGGTCCACGCTCAGCTTGGTGCCTGGCCACCAACTGGCACTGTGAGTAGCTGGAACTGGCAAACAGCAGAGGCTAGGAGAAAGTAGGAAATACTAAGGGTGCTTGTAAGCAGTTTAGCAAAAACCTTAATGATCTTTTCCCCCTTAAAATGACATTCTTTAAGGTCTTGCCTTCCTTAACGTTAAAAACAGTAGTTCTATACGAGGGAGAGTTGTACTGGTTACGGTGTGCTTCTTCAGCGCGAGGACGCTTTGTTGGGCTTCAGTCAGTACAGGATGTGTCCCTTTTAGAACAAATAGGGGCCTTTTCCTTGCTTGGGTGGGGACAGGAGATCTTGCAGGGAAGGAAAGAGGGGCCTCCAGGAGCCACTCACCCACACGCTCTCCTTTCAGGGAGTCCCAGATGTTGCAGTTGAAGTCATCGTAGCCAGCAAGCAAGAGGCGCCCGCTGCGGGAGAAGGCGACTGACGTGATTCCGCAGATGATGCTCTCGTGAGAGTACACTATGAGCTCCTGGTCCGCCCGGAGGTCAAAGAGACGGCAGGTGGCATCGTCTGAGCCAGTGCAGATGGCTTCACCGTTGGGGAAGAACTGAGGAGGGCACACACGCCAGATTTCAGTCAGGCTGTGCCTTACAACTCTTCCCCTCCCTGCTGACCGCAGAAAAACCCAGTGGGGCAAGACGCTGGATCATAGAGGTTGAGACTGATGCTCCTCCTAAGACCTCGTAAACCCCTTCCACCTCATGGAAGGCAATGACCTTAGGAAGCTTTTGTGCCCAGTAAAAGTCAACCCCCAAACTTCAGGGAACTCAGGCCCTTCTTGCTTCAGGCTGGATCATGGGGCCAAGGTCTCCCGAGACCCTTGTTCCCCCCAGTGACTGTGACAGCTTCTTTCAACCTTGTCCCAAGACCCTGTTTCAGAGCTGGTACATCCCCCACCCCTGCACCCTTTTCCTCACCTTCCCACCGCTGTGCAGGCAGCATACGTACGCAGATGGCGTTGATGTCGGACTCGTGCCCTGAGAAGGTCTGACGGCAGGTGCCCTCCCGCACATCCCACAGTTTGGCGGTAGCGTCGCAAGCCCCGGAGATGAAGAGTTTGAAATCTGGGGAGACGGCCAAGCTCATACAGTCTCCAGTGTGACCCAGGAACACAGTCTTCTGCTGTCCTGTCTCGATGTCCCAGAGCGCGCTGCGCGAGAGGAGAGAACTTCTCAGATCCAACCCGGGCAGGACAGATCTACAGCGGGTGTGAAGAGCCGTCCCGCTCACGAACACATGGAGGGAAGCTATAGGCCTGACTACAGCATGGGAAAATTGGAGGAGAGCGTCTCCGGAGTCAGCTGTATCCATCAGGAGGTATCTTAGCTGTTGCTGGTCATGCCTTTGCCAAAACAGAGTTAGACTAAGGGTGGAGGTGTGAGGTTTGACTGTATTCCTGTAACTGCAACAGTTGACAGGAATACTGAGAGGAGACAAGAGAGACCCACAGGCAAACAGCTGGAAAAGGTCTGCTGTGTCCATGCCCGTAGAACGCACGGCCCGTGTTCACTGGGATCCCACATTACAGCCAGGCAAACAAGCCCCATGTAACCTTGACCTCTGGTGGAAATGCCAAATCCTGACTCATCCTTGGTCAAGATGTTCTTCCAAAGCAGGTGTTGGGGTGGGGTGGGGGTGAATAAAGACTCGGTACTACTTGGAGTTGCAGCACAGTGAGACCTGGGAGCCAGGAACTGCAGGATCCAGGCAGTGGCTTTGCAGGTGTCCCCTGCGCAGTGGGCAAGACTCAAAGTGAAGCGCGTGCGTGGGCTCTGCATCAACTTACCGTGTTTCCTGTCCCGGGATAAATGACACTCTGCTTGGTGAGAGCTGCCAACGTGGTCCCTACTGCTTCACCAACAGACCTGCCTCTTGACCTGACCTCAACTGGGAAAAGAAGAACCTGCCCTACCAAGGGAGGGAGGATGGAGCTTCTTGAGGTGCTCTGTGGTGTCCCCGTGTCGGAGCAATTTGTCCTTAGCGGACTGTGTCAGAGCAACAGGACCACGCTCGCTGGTGTGTGCGGTGCCTCTAAGAGCCAGGGGTCATGTCGCCAGGATGCAGAAGGAAACACTCACCATGTGGTATCTCCAGAGCTCGTCACAATATTGTTGTCATCGAGAAATCGGCAGCAGGAGAGGTAACCTGGGAAGTGGGAACAGACAAATAGGAGAAATGGGACAGGGCTAGAAGAGCGAGGTCTGGAAGCAGAGGGCACCCAGGCTGCAGGGCAGGCAAGACACGCACCTGTATGGGCTGAGAGCTCCCTGCTCACTTTGACGTTGCCTTCACGAGTCTTGAGGTTGTAGATGGAGCACATGTTGTCAAGGCCCCCACAGGCCACAAAATTGCCTGAGGGGGCGTAGGCACAGGTCATGACCCAGGAAGAACGCAAAGGGATGGCATGAACCTGGGAAGACCAGAAATGGTGTCAGGATGCTGGGAGAAGAGCAAGCAGGGCACGAGCATGGGTACCCGCCCCAGCACCCCCGGTTGCTGTAGCTGGCTGGTCCCTACCTTGTTTGTTGTGTATGTGTCCCACACAATCAGCTTCCCGTCTTGTGAGGCACTGACCAGAAGTCTGCGAGAGAGGAACAAGATCACGTTAGTAGCGCTCTTCCCATCAGAGCCTTCTTGGCCCTCGCACCCACGTCCTGCCCGG